TGAATGTTACGAAGCTAATGGTTCGGCTATTCACTTACAATTGTTTCGCCCAGATAGCGTGGATCTGCGGTGAAATCCGGGAATGACACAATAGCTTCTTCGATGGAAGCTGCCTGATAACGTGAATCATACGCGATACAGCGATTCGATCCTGGATTTATCACGCATGGACACTAAAAGATCAGCTCCGAGGGAATATTTTATAGTCAAATAATTCTACACGAAAATCATTTCAATAAAATATGATACTGCATAAAGATGGGTTATGTTTGTCAATGTAATATAAGAAAAACTGCATAACATAGGATATGATGATATATGGTAAAGGATATGCTAAAAACAATGAATCAAACATGTGAAATGTGAAAAAATCGCACTAAGAATGGCGAACCGAAATATGAAATCTGAATGGAATGAACCAACTTGTGGAATATGATTTCCGCGAACACGTTGCTCAATGAAGCCACCATAAATATTTGCATTTTCATCATTGTTATTGAAGTTATTAAAGTTATTATTATTATTATTGTTATTATTATTATTATCGTTATTGTTGTACCGATAATGTCGTTTCGCACGACTTTTAAACGCTGAGGCATCGGCATTCATTGATGAATTAATGAAGTGTGCATTAAGACTGGATGACGAAGCGGTGATGAGCATTGGACCAGCGAATGCATCGAAGTGAGTATTAGACGAGATCAATTGATGATTTGAATTTACCATTTTGATCAATTGCAAGCAATGAACAGTTAATATGACGCCTAAAGGCGTCATATCTTTCAAATTCAAATAATTACACTTCGCTGTATCAATTTCTGAAATCGACATTATGCACAATTAATATCGTCGTTAATAAACAGTTGAAGATTTGAGCACATTCTAGGAACGACACGTTTCGTTTTAACGATAAAACCGATGGACATAATAACATTCGTAATCGTAGCATTTTCAATGAGATGGACTTCAATGATATCGATAACAATAAGAATATTTGCAATAATGATAACGCAACATAAGATGAAGTCGACCGCAGTTACTTCATGTTCTGTGAACAAAAGCTGGAGCAGTTCATTAAATCGAAATTGATAGCAATTAGCCTATTTGGCTAGCTCTGACACGAACACGCATTCTGAGCAGCTGTTCTTGATCCTTTAATATCTTTGCTGAATATGTTTAATCACTCTCATAGCGTA